GGGACCTGGAGGACCTGGTGGGCACAGAGCTGGGCACTGCAGGGAACAGAAACACATTTTGGTTCATCGAGTACACATGGCAGAGAAGTTTCATTATCAAGCAGAGGAGAAAAGGTCCTGTGGGTTTTGCCTCTAAATCCACTAAACTAATGCATTCATAGCATCATGCACTGACTGCCATTTCCCTATGGCAAGGGGTCCTAAACAGGTCCTCATACCCCCAGTAACCCACAAAATAATGATTTATGAATGGGCTGCTTTACTTTCAGCATGAACTGTGAGAAATTCTGAAGTTTGACAGCTGTCCCCAGCCCGAAATGCTGAAGAGTCACAGCTCCCAGCAAAGCTGGATCAGTATCTTGTAAATCATTAGGAATATATTTAATCCTATGCATTAATTGACCGCTATCAATTTCCTTTAGCCAACTCACCTAACTGAAACAAGGACAAGCATTAGAGTTTACCTTTAAAAAAGTAACCCCAACACCTACAGACCAATATCTGCAGATGTCTATGGGTGAGTGAGCCCCTGGTGGAAACTCTACTGGGAACTGTTGGACTGGGAACAAATTGGAACAGGCGTGGAAATTTAACAGGGGCTCAAAAGGCCACACTCTAAAAACTTCATAAACAGGGAATGAGATTTTCTTCTGCAGCTTTTCTTTCATTTGTTTGTTGTTTATTTTTCCCTTTTAATAAAACCTCAGGCAACACCACTGTAGCAGCAATTTAATTTTCCAGTATATTCCACAGGGTATCTTAAATTAAACTTGCAGAAACAGTATCATTTTCTATTAACTTCCACATGACTTGCCATAAGGCAGTCTAAACTGACTCTGAGCTTTTTTTGGGGCACGCCAATTAGAAAACCAAAGATGCTGTCACAACAACAGCTGCGAAATCAAACGGGATCTCACTCCCATCGTTCATGGACTTAACACTCCTTTCATTCCCCTGAAAGAAAGGAAGCAAGACTTTCTCATAAGGAAGGAAGTCTAAACAAAGCATATGCCCAGAGGAACCCGGTGCCACCATCCATGGAAATAAACAGTGCTACACACACGACCTTTTCTCTCACGAAGCAGAGATGGGAAACAGATGCATGAAAAGCTGTTGTCATTTACCAAATGCTAACGTTGTTTTGTAAATTATGAATGTATGCAAAACCTGCATTTTGAAAAGCGAACTGGAAAGCAAAGATGAAGGAAAAAATCGGCACTCGCATGTCTACCTCCTTGAAAGTACTTTTCAGTCTTGTGAATACACACGCAACACTTCAGCATTGTGGGATAAGGCAGTTTAGACCCACGTCTGCAGGGCCAAACAGCTCATGTTAAATGCTCTGAGAGTCACCCAAGTGTGCCAGTGAAAAGCCACATCAAGGATTAAACCACAAAACGTTTTCATGCTACATGAAGAACCTACCTGAAGGTCCCCACCGCCATCGTGAAGGGTGCCTGGAAGACCCTGCAATTCATGAAACGTGGTCTTTTGAATGCATCAGGACAAACACCAGGAGAAAATACAACTTCTAGAAAATGCACTTTACAGACCCAGCCTGGTTGGATCAGCACAAGGGGGATACCCAGCCCCATAGCATAAAGCGCAGCCCTGAACACAGAGCATGATGAGCAGCACCGGTCCCCAGAACAGACACGTCAGGAGTGTAACTGCCTTCTGGAGGTGCACAGATGAGCTCAGGGAAGAGCCTTGAGCCTCAGGTGGTGAAGGCAGCAATCTGAGGAGAGCATCTGTGCCCACCCCTGCTTTGGGGCAGGGAAATTCCTTGGAAAAGACCTCCCTATCCCTCCAGAGATACCACAGCAAACCCAAAACGCAGACGTGCTGGTTTCAAGCCCCGCTTTGCTGTCCCTACAAGAAGACGTCATGATCCAAGTAACCATATAAACCCTGAGAGAACAGGAAGCCCACGCTGTGATGTCTGTGCCATCAAACCTGGATGTCACTGGGTTCCTCCACCTGCACAGTGCAGACACTGAACAGGAGATAACCAAATGCACCAAAGTGAAAAGTCAGTGCTCTCCTCGGGGCATGGTGTTTATGGCCTGCTGAAACTTAGCCCAGAAAGGGAGTGCTCAAGGCGATGGCAGCAAATAAAACATGCACATTCTGGCAGCAAGAAGAAAGTTGTGGATTTCCCCATGGGAATTTTCTTACGTTTATTTGCAAGTCTCAACTTACAGGAGGTCCGGGTGGTCCAGGAGGCCCTGGGAATCCTGGCAGACCAAAAGGTCCCTAAAAAGAGTGAAAAATAATAAGAAACCCCCTTCTTAATCATTTAAATGAAAATGTAAAAGGAGAGGAACAGTGGCTACCAAATACCAATGCATATTTGCAAATGTGGGGCATGGTATCTCTAACGGGACTCAACTGCACCTTTCTTTCTGGAGAGGCTTCTATGAATGCAAAGAGAAGAGTAGATGCATATGTAAGTACAGGGATTAGGATAAAAGAACATATCCCTGCACCTACATCCCTGCTTCCAATGGCTCTGTACCTCTCCACAGGAGTTGTGAGCACTCAAAAATGATGGTACGCCTCTGCAGAACGGGCTCCCCCAGATCGTACCCATTCTGTCCTTGCTCATAGTTGGTAAAGGACGATGGGGCTGCAAGCAGTTGCACACCCTTGGCATTGCATTGGTCGACTGAGGGGACCCTACAGAAGCTGACACAAGGAATACAAGTGCCCATAGGCAATGAATGGGCTAAGAGAGCAGAAATTAACCTTGTGGCATGTTCAGTAACGGAGCATTGAATGATAAAAGAAACTCACAGGAGGACCCCGAAATCCATTTCCACCTGGGAGCCCACTGGGTCCTGGAGGGCCCTGTTGAACAGAGAGAAGAGCCTTACACCCATGGTGTCCTCACATAGCTGCCAAAACAAGGGGCAACCAAACAGTCTGGCTGTACTAACCCCCCCAAGGAGCTCAACACTGCACCCACCCAATCAGCTCACCAAGACACATCTTGCTTTTTGCTCCACCTTCCCATGGACCTCGCTTTTATCATCGCATGTTGCCAACATCTGCATCCCCTCCAACAGCTCTGAGATGCCCCGGGAACCCACCAGATGAACACTGCCCCAAAATTGGTCACTTCCAGCAATTACAAGGCTTCTGCACCTTGAATTTACATCATTGCCAGCTTTTCTGGGGTTCAGGTAAGGATAAAAAAAAACCAAGATGAGACGCCCCAAGGCCTGGGGTGGGTTTGTAACACTCACAGTATCCAATAAAGTCAGTATAATAATTTAAACCTCTTTGTCAAAAGAGCATCGTGACTTACGGGAGGTCCTGGTAGTCCTTTGCCCTGGAAACAACATTTAAAACAGTAAGAGATCACTCAGAAACTGAGCACACAGGAAGAAAAACAAACCTCAGAAAATGCCACTTAATTTTGTTTTTCCTTTTCAGTTTCCTTAGAGCTCCCCTGTCCCCAGTTATTGCAATTTTTAATCAGAGCAGAGCTGGAGCATTAATGAATCCTTTTGTTGCCTCTACTAATTTGTATTCCCTTTATATCGCTGTTACCTATGAGAAATCTCTAAGTAAAACCACATATGGTGATGTGATAGCGTGACACAGACATTTATGAAAACAGCATCCTAGTTTATATAATTGTCCTCTCTTTTTTCCTGTTTTATTAGACATTATTTAATACCTAATAACTCTGACAGCATTTGATACGCTAGTCTTTAATCCAAGCTGGCTTGCTTTTAACATCTCAGAGACTAAGAAGGGCTGTGGTACCAGAACAGGTCATACACACATATTTAAACACTAAAAACGACGTTTTCACTCGTTCATCCCTTTGTTGGGGTTACAAGGCTTCCCATCTTCTCTTGGCGATGGTTTTGACATAGTATTTCACACCATCTTTACATACGCAGCTCTAGGTGGTACTTACAGCTGGTCCAGGTGGCCCAGAAGGTCCTAATGCACCCTGTGGGAATAAAGCAGAGCACAAATCAGCAGGGACAAACCTGAAATTCCCATGTGAGAGACACCAACGTCTGCTTGTGGCACCAATCTGCTGAATTCACAAATACAGGGATAGAAACTTGTGGGTAACGACTCTGTCATTCCCTATTAATTACTTGGCTGAAGGATGTTTTGAGACAGTAGGGATGGATGCTCAGAATGGGCCCCAGCAACTTCCTTCACCATTTGCTGGGCAAGAGAGAGTAGAGACTAAACCATGAGCTGCTCCTAAAAGACTAAACAGGCACTTCTGCAAGTCACAGCTGGCCTCAGATTCGTCTCCGTGTATATCCAAAGGTTCATAAATTGAATTTCATCTGTTTGAAATACTCTCATTCATAATACTTTCATGATGTAGATCCAATTACTAAATTATGTGCAACTATTTACAAGCTTTGGGCTTGTTCTAGTTAATTTTATTAATTCATACATTTTCCCTTCAAGCATAGACAAAGACTTGGCAGCTTCTGCCTTTTCAGTCGCATCCCTTGGCAAATCTCCAGTCTCCTTTTCCCAATTTGCATTCTCACTCGTAAGCTTGACTGGAGTTTGGTGAACTTATACCTTAGACTAGAATTCAGTCATTCCTGAAGTTGTTACCTTCCTCCTTAACTAAGGCTAGTAAGACAGACTGACCTTCCCAGTCCTTCAGTTGCATTGCAAAGGTGCCAACACTGGCTGGTAGACTGTAAAATTAATGATAGGTAGTAATTCTGAAACAGAAAGTAAATGGAAATATAAAAACTAGCAAAAAACCAGTGTGGCGGGCAGAACTTAAAATAGTGAGAGGGTGATAGACTTAAACACAGCATGTTGTTATTTATGGACTGTGTTAAACTAACGCCAGCAAAATCCTCATCTTCTTGTGCAGGAGACAAAGCCTCTCACCAGCCTGATTGCCCAAGCCTGTTTTCCAAACATTCTCAAAATATTGCACAGAAACACCTTGAGCACCATGTCCTGAGCTGGAATTAAATGGTATCTACCCCTAGGACCAGAGGAACAAGGCAGATGGGCAGACCTGGAAAATATCCCAACGCACCACTGCTTATTGTGATCCCAGGGACGACATCAGCCCTTTCCTAACGCTCTACGTACCAAATGAGATTAGAAATATTTTCCCTTGTTAAGCTTAAAGATACTGAGAACCCAAGGCCTCATTAAGAGCAGTCTTGTGAGGAGAGGACTGTAATCCAATAAAAATCAACTCAGTTGCAAATGTCAGCTCGTTCGCCTCTCTTCCTGCAGGTTACTCTGCTTTTCTTCCAGTTGCTTTTATCTTGAGGCTGAAGTCCTTACAACCACTGGTGGCTGTAAGGGGCAAGCTGGGATCTCCTCCTGTCAAGAAACCACTGAATTCCTGACACATACTGACGTGCACCCCAACCCAAACCAGCTGCATAGCCCCTTTCTGCCTTGGCCTACATGCCAAAAGACTGGCAGAGTACCCAGATTACCCCTTCATTTTGGTATCTTTGAGGGTGCAAGGTGCATCACGCAGCAGTGAGCATTCCTGGTAAAGTAAAGACCATTGAGTCCCTGAGCAAGCTGATGCAACTCCATTAAGTTCAAAGGAGAGACTCTAATTTACGCCTCAATTTTAATAACATTGTCTGACTCAACTCATTCTCCTGGTAACAATGTTCTCTCTCTTTTGATTAAAAAAAAAAACAATCTCACCATAGTTTTTCACTTTAAAGTAATATACTTTATGAATATACAATTATGGAGCATAGGAAATACTTGATTAAAGTGACACTCAAATAAATATGAATAATTACTTAGAGTATAAAGCACCAAACTTCAGAATGGCCTTTGAAAACTTTCCAATGAATGACAACGGTGTCTAGCGCTGAGGGCAGAACCCAGCTCATTCCTGGCTAAAAATAAAGGTTTTGGGGTTTTTTAATTGGAAAAACAGGTAGGCTTGATCCAACCAGTCTGTAAGCAGAACCATGAGAAAAGCCAACGGATGCTGACAGCAACAGGAGTATTTAAGATAAAAACCATTTTAGTACACTGCCTTCACAGTACTCTGCCCCTGGTCAGGCATGAATCACTGTTGGACTGATGAAGCCTGGCATTTAGAGGAAAAATAAAATGTTTAGCAGTAAGGGATTACTAAAGCTTCCATGAGCCCTCTTCCATATGCTAAACATCTTCGCTTTCAGACACTCCAGTTCAGAAAAATATGCTTGTTCAGGAGAAATCATACTGTTAAGCATGAATCCAATCCCAAAGCTTATTTCAGTGATACCTGGGAGACTAAAATATGTTCTTGAAGTTGAGAAGAAGAAAGAAAGTCGAAGTAGCAATGCTGACCTTTTAAAGTGCTAAAGCTTTTAGAGGCTTTTTTTCCTTTTTCCAGGCTTTTCTTAGACCAATTAAACCAATTTTCCAGATGGACCACTGACCTTGAAAAGCTCCCGTAAATGACAGAGGTCCCAGGTTTGCCCCATGCTGACAGAGGTATGAGACGTGGGAAAGCACATCAAATCATGGAGTTATGGTAACTGTGTTTGTGTGCTTATACTGAAGAGGAAGTTCCTGTGCCCAGAAATTATCTGCTCAATTACCCTGCAAACCAGGAGCTTGCGTGCTAAAGTGGGCATGGCCAAATACTACCAGCAAACATCAAACAGGAGCACGAAACTGCTCGGAGTCTTCTGTGTGTGGTCCTGAAATTTTCTATTTTTAAAAACCGGAGCTCGGTTCCCAGAAGGTGCTGGGCTCTTGCCACAGAAGGTCTGAGAGCGGTCAGGACTTCGCAGCCCTGGATCTCTGGGGACAACGATGGGGATGAGGAGAAGGTTTTTAGTGCCGTGCCAATGGACAGAGGCTTGGAGCTATGAGAGGCGCTTGGCTCCTGCCACTCAACTTTCCCAGTGGCCAAACTTTGCCTTGCACATGGGAAAGGAAGAAGAGCGATTTCACAGATATGTGGCTCTATCACTCATCCCTTTAACTAAACGAGACAACTCACAGAGCATTGAGCTTTGGGTACCTCCTTGGGGCAACAAATGGATTATTGAGATATATTGAACCTTTTTTAACCTTTTAACACACTGTGATGTGTGTTCAGCCCATCACTGCAGCCCCGAGTTCAAGAGACCAATAAACCAGCTGTGGATATGAGCCTCATCATCCCACACTGGGAGACAGGAAAATAACCATGCTGCATAAAAACCTGTGCTGCATGGCTCACCAATGTTTGGTTCTTAATGTCACAAGGAGGCCTAAGTTCCTTTCCAGCCCCACTGTAGATGATCTGAAGGACATCTGTAACCTCACAGGCAGTCATTTCTATATCCCTATGGTGCCCCTTAGCAGAGCTATAATATGCAGGAAGCAAGAAAAATCCCTTATTTCTTGCTATGTTGGCAGGGGAAGTCTATGCCCATGCAAATGATAATGTCAACCATATGGACAGCCCTGGAATTAGCAAAAGGAAAAGAGTTTAAAAAGTCAATACACAGTAGCAGTAATTATAAACATAACAGAGCTGCATACTTAGACTGCAAACAAAGGCCAAAATAGCTTCACTTTGATTAATTTCATGATTAAGTCTGCTGACTGTTTTAAGGAACTTTTTAGATACTCATGGTATCACCAGAGCTGCTCTGCACTGGTACTCCCACTACTGAGAGCATCCAAGCCCATTCAAAGCCACGTGAAGGAAAGATGGATCTCATGCCTTGCCTAACGAAAAACCATCTGGGCCTTCATTTCAAAGGTCCAAGTATTCTGCAAGCGTTTATGGATAACTAAACCATCATAATCAGTACCCAAACATCACCAATTTACAAAGGAATGAGAAAGCATCAATACGAGCAGTGACAATATTCATTTAAGGGGATTTAGGATCTGATGTGGTACTCACACGGTCTCCTGGAGGCCCATTTGGGCCAGGTGGGCCATCGGTTCCTGTTAAACCCTGTAAAAAAAGTGGAAGAAGAGCATCAAAACTGAGAAATAAGAGCTGTAGGAAGTTACTTTCACCAGCACAAATCATCTGGATGCCAAGATCTCAGCAAAGCAATAGAACAAGGGGAAATGGCCTCAAGTTTAGGCCAACCAGGAGAGGTTTAGGTTGGATATTAGGAGGAATTTCTTTACTGAAAGGGTTGTCAAACACTGGAAGGTGTTGCCCAGGGAGGTGGTGGAGTCCCCATACCTGGAGGGGTTTAAGAGATGAGGAGATGTTGTGCTTAGGGACATGGTCTAGGGGCAGACTTAGTAGGGCTGGATTGGTGGTTGGACTCGATCTTAAAGGTCTTTTCCAACCAAAACCATTCTAGGACTCTATGAAAGCCCAACCACTTTATTTCTCTCTATAATTAATCACAAAGGAAAGGAACAGAAGCAAATTATCTGTACTGTTCCCTGTCCAGAGCTGTAGGGCAAATCCCAGCCCAGTGAGCAGCACATCTCAGCTAATAAGTGTGACTGGATTTCTGAACCGAGGATCAGTAGGTTTGCTCCAGAAACGTCAACGTATGCTCATATTTCTGCAGACCTTCCCAGGGCACCTCTGAAGAAGTGCAATGTTTCATTGTAAGAGTGCTGTCATATCAGTTATGCATCTCAAAAACGTCATACTCCTTAATTTAATCAAGAGATGCTCTCAACTCTTTAAAATTTCTCCTGGTATGCAAGACATGTGTAGATCCAGGATCCACTGTGCTTCTCCAGCAGACCCAGAGGAAGTTGATGAGACACTTGAGGAAAACACCCATGCCTACATGTAATATTTAAAAGATCTAAGAGAAGATGACAAAATACTCACATCCACTCCAGGGAGGCCAGGCAATCCGGCTTCACCAGCCGCTCCAGGCTTCCCTGGTGCACCTTTTGGCCCCTAAATCACATGAACAGGCAATTATTTTTAACATAACAACAAGAGAAACATGGTGTGTGTTGATATGGGCTACAAGATAGAAGTTCATTTGTTGAGGTGCTAATCTTACACCATGCAACATGGAAGAATTCCTGCAGAGAGATGACACTTCCCATGAATCCCTATCCAAAAGGATGAGCAAGTCAATGGCAACCAGAAAATACTTACTGGTGGGCCTGGCAAGCCAGGAGGGCCCGGCTCTCCCTAAATGAAAGAGAAAAGACATCAGTGTTAGTGTTGAACCTCTTTCCATTGACTTTTTGCACCAATGGTGTTCCCAACTATCGCTGTGCTCAATTCTCCCTTCGTGCCCACTCCAAAATTTAACACATTCAATCTTACGAAGGCAATGCTCTAGATCCCCCTATCCTCTCAAGCTGGATGAATTTGGACAGCCTTTTCCACATCTACAATAGTAGATTGGGTGAAATCCACATCGTCAGCCTCCCAGAAAGAGCCAGTTCCTTTGAACAGTGCCCAACACCTGCAATTTTTTTCCAGATTTGCTTAGAAATTATTTGCACTTGGGCTTGTCTGTAAGTGAGACGAAGCTGAATGGCTATCAGGGCTTTCAAACGTCTTCTTGAGGAAAGAGAGGGATACAGCGATAAACTCCAGGTATCCAGGACACAGTATGAAACCGCAGCACTACCAGGAGCTGGGGACTATCAGAAAGTGAAGAATGAGCAAACTGTCCAGGGTGATTTTCTTCATATGACTAAACTTTGACAGGAAAAGCAAATGAACAAAGCCCTCAACTGATTCCTACCTAATCCAATTGCACAATCTGGATTAAACCCAAGTTTTATGAAATATTTCAAAAGCACTCTTTTTTTTTCCTATCCTAATGGAAAGCAGCTTTTAAGAACAGCATTAAAGGTGTTTGGGAGACAATATTTTAAAAGTCTTTGAATCACTCCTTCTGGCTCAGCCTGCTGTAATTTCACATATGGGCTTGCGGGGACACCAGGCAAGTGGACATTTGTGTTTTATTGTTAGCCCCCGAAAAAGGCAATAATTTGTGACCAACTCCCTGACTGGAGCTTGATTTCCCATCTCATCCCACAGAAAACCACTTTGCATCCCATTTCCAGACGTCTGGATGGTACCCTCCCCTCCTGGCTTTAGGATAAATGTACTAAATATTGTGAGACTCGGGTATTGTGGGCGAGCAGACAGGAAGGGACATGTTGATACCCTGGAAGAAAATCGATATGGAAAAAGGGTGGTTATTAACAGAGCAAGGCTAGAAATAACACCAGCCCTGCCGTGGGCCTGATAATTTGAAGGGAATAAGCAAAGGCATGGGATTTATAGCATGTTTCTATATTTACTATGTTGGCAACTGTGAAGTCTGTGGGCAAACCTCTCAAGACTGGCTGCCTTGATTCGCTCGGGCGAGGGTTTCTGTCCTGCACTGGTGCCCAATCAAAGCGCAGAGCAGAGGGGCACTGCACAGAGGGATCTTTATGCTCTGGCTTGCTGAAGCAACTCCTTTGCTGTCCTTTGCCCATGGATTTTCCATAAATAGTTATCATTAGCATAGGTGGGGAAGGTCCCCTGCCAAGGACGTGAAAGAGCAGTTCTTTTGCAGTGCATGGTTTGAAAACGCAGCTAGAAATGGCAGCAGAGGTGGTTTGCTCTCCCCTCCATCACCTGAGATCGACAGCTCCTTGCATTTTTTCTTGCCTGTGCGATGGCAGTCCATACGGCAAGGTCACAGCAACAGCAAAGGCTTTTTGGGATCATCTTAAACCTTGATCCTGCCATCGTGGACCCCTGCGAGGCTCTGCAGGGGCACCAGAACTTCAGTCAGCTGAATCAAAAGTCTAATCAGTGCTCATAGCCCTAATGCCCCATCACCGGGAATTAGAGGCAAGGGCTGTCAGCAAAAGGAAATGCTCTCCTGGTGCTACACGAGAGGGAAGTAAGTTTACTCTTTCTTAGCAAGTCAGCCCAGGAGACAAAAAGTGGGAGGGAAAAAAGTTTGATTTTTGAAAAGTGACAATTGCTTATTAGCAATTTGGGGAATTACATCCCCAGAAATAATGCACAGGAACTTGTCGCTAATTCTTTCGATCATAACACACTGCTTCTGTTCTTGGGAGGGAGAGATTTTGCTTGTTATGGAGTATGAAGCATGTTAAAGGCTGTAATTATGAAATATTGCAGAGGGACTTCATGGTGCCGCTGCCAGTGAAAGGCAGGAACAAAAGCAGGAGCTTCTAGAAATTGCGCTTATGGGGTTCATCCAAGGTTCGTTCGCAGCTATCCTGAATAATTCAGCTGCACGTTATGCACCGCTCACTGCTCACAGCTGATGGTAAGGGACTGCTGAACACCTCAGCAGCGCTCATCCAGCTCAAAGACCGTTCAGTGACTCTTCCCACACTGCATCCAACCAAAGCCATCTGGGAAGATGACCCAGCTGGAGCGGCTTACAGAGCTCAAGAAACTTGCACAGATACAGTCTAGAAAAGTTCTGGTTGAACTTCAAAAAAGGTCTTATCAAGAAAATAAAAGAAATAAAATAATAGTTTCATTTTTTGCAGTGGTAGAATTGACACTACCACTTGGGCTATTCCTGCATGGCCACAACTCCAGATTCAAGCTGGGTCTGCAAGACTTAGCACCTTAAGTACTTTTCTTGGCCATTTGATTTATTAGGAGTAAACTCTTCATGTTAATTTGATGTTATTTGGTCCTGTCCCACAGGGAGCACTCCAAAGCCTTTAGTGGTGGATGAAAGGGCACAGGTTCATGTGACCAGCACCTCCCCAGGCTTCTGTTCCCAACAGCGATCAGAATTGGTGCTGCTGCCGTTCCAGAATTAAGGTGTAGAATATCCTGTAGAAAGCAGGCACTGAACACCACCTCCATCCCTCCCAAATTCTTCTTTTTCACTCTGTACAGAAACACAGTCACCCTTTCCTGAAGCCACAGGACTGTTCTGCTGCAGTGACTCCACACGCTCACTGCTGCGAACATGAACGCGTGTCCTCTGCCCTCTTTTATCCTATCATGAAAACCAGCAGAGAGGAAACCACTGAGGTACCAGTTCTCAGCTTTCCAGGCTACAAAACCAGAGTGAGATGTTCAGTAGCTGCAAATCAATGAGGTTCTCTTCAGCCTTGCTCACAGAGCCACTGTGAAAGCTCCCCACTGCAGACAAAAAAGCTCCTTGTTCACCATATACCAGGGAACTCGTATATCTTTTTAAACTTCTTATCCAACAGAAAATGACCAGCATTGAATGAATAGATTTTTTTCAAGGTTGCTTAAGGCCCAATTCCAATAAATGTACTTCAGACAGGCTTTAAAATACCCTGACCTATTCTATAAGCAGCTCCGAGAGACAAGTGCTACTCAAACTGAATATCGAAGCATTTTGCATTTGATGTGGTCTCGTTGAAAGTCCATCTGATGCTCTTTTTATCCACTGCCAGCTACAGGACACAATTCAGTCCTTATCCAACAGATGCACACAAGTAAAATCTTTCATTTCTATGGAAACATCGATTAAAAGCAATAGGACAAGTTCTCCTCCAGTAAGTCCTGTGGGCCACAGTCTTCTACCTCTGCAGGAGGTATATTTACAAGGAACTGCCTGCTGAAGTAAAGGGTGCCCATTTCATCTGCCTCTTGTGCCACTAAAGGCAACTCACAAGCCAGATTCTGACCTCTCATTTGCCATTACGGGTTAGGGATAGCCATACTGACAAAGCTGAAATAAAACCAATATAACAGCAGTGCCCAGTGCTGCGTGTTGGAGTTTCTTGGGGCCTCTGTAGAAACACGGATGCCCTGAAGCGTCACATAAACATCCCTCTGAACTACAGAGCATGCAATGACTGCAATGCATGCGTGCATATTACACTCCCTCTCCTCCCTAGACACTGAAAGAAAAATATTCTGCTTTGCAAGCAGCATCACGAAACCCCAGCTCTGTCCTGAACTTTTTTTTGAGACAGGCGATTGATCCTGCAGAGAACCTGAGGCCACTCGGCACCCCCGCTCTTGCAGAAGGTCTCCTGCGATGGGGTTGGTTCTCCAGGCCCATCCACCTCTGAAAGGTGGCCCCGAGTTTTGAGCTCTGGAGAACAAGCAGCTTCTCTGCTGGGTTGGCTCTGCCCCTGCTCCACCCCTTGCCCTCACGTCACTCACGTCTATGCCGTCCTTGCCAGATGGTCCAGGGGGTCCTCGTGGTCCAGGAGGGCCTTGTGGTCCTATTCTCTGCAAATATTGGGGTAAAGAGAGAGAGGTTATTTTTTTCATCATAAGAAGCACAGGGGATAAATCAGAAAGCAATGGCCAAGTCCTACAGCTGAACCCTAAACCTGCACTAACCCTTCATCCCCCAGGGCCCCGCCATCCTGGGTGGACTTGGAGGGGCTCAGTGCTGGTGCAAGGCTTTTTGGAAAACCTTTTTGGCCGAGCACATCCTCAGGGCTCCCAGCTGGTTTAACTGGTGGCTTATGCTGGGAACCAAAGCTGGTCGCTGGGCAGCAAACGGGTTTGGAAATGGTTCTCCTGCCTACAGGCACATTTCATTTTGGGCAGAGGAGGAAATGCAAAGCCCACGGAAAATAGGTGCCAAGTGCTTAGCATTAAAAGTGAAATTATAGTCCCAGTCTGATGGGGCAAATGAAAGAGCCAGGCAGGCACTGAAGGGAAAAGGGGAAGCCTCCTCTCTAATGCCATTTGAAAATCTGGGATTTTGGAGGAGCTCTGAGGTGAGGGGAAGGAAAGAAAGGTCCAATAAATGACTTCTGTATGGAGAGGGCTCCAGAGAGCAACTTGCTGTAGCTTCAGCAAACAAAGGTCTCATTGTACAAGCAGCCTTGCTCGCAGCAGATGAGGGCAGCTCTGAATTGCCAAGCCAGACTGCAAAAATTCTTCACTAACACAATGAAAAGCCTCACTGAAGAGTTACTTCCCCAGGCAATAACATTCACACCATACAGGGAAGTTTAATCTAGCCTCACGTCTGAAGCGAACAAGGGTTAAATACGCTATTTTATAAGTGTAAAATTTGAAAACTGATTGAGGGAAGGAACAAGAAATTCTGATTCAGGTGAAGACCCAGATCAGGAGATTGGTCTCGTTGGCAACCTATTGCTTCATTGTAAAATAGAACCACTTCTCTTGCATCACCAGGTCTCCCCTTTCCCAAGGCTTTATCTCTTGTAACGGCAGCACTGAATGGGAAGACGATACTTCCATGGAAAGGATAAAGCAGCAGTTTCTACACACAAGGATAGAATTTAAAAGCCTCCCTGCACAGGTACAAGACCTGCCCTGCTCGCTAGGTGCTCTCTGTGTAACAGCACAACCACCACACACATTTTTCACAAACTTTAGACCCCAATAACCTGCCTGCTGCCACATTTCACCCTGCAGCTATAACATACAGAAAGCACTAGGTTCTTTCCCCCTTTTCTCTTGAGCATAAGACCTAAATGAGGCTTCTTACCTGAGCTGATGCTGTGGCCAAGAGCTGACATAGGAAGAGAAGCCCAAGAGCAGAGGATCCAGCCATGGTGCACAGGCTCTGCCTCTCTTGGTCCCTCCTGGGCAGCTGAACTACTTCTCCTCCAGGGTCCAGCAGATCCCTCCTCCTCCTCCTCCTGGGTCTCAGTGTAAACTCCTTGCCTCCAGATAAACCTGCGGCTCCAGCCGGAGGGGCCGAGCTGAGGAGCACAGGCAAGAGGGGCCGAGCTGGGAGGAGAGAGAAGGTTTCGGGAGGAGGTGGGAGAAGGAGGGGGAGCAGCAGTCAGGCAGGAAGAGAAGCTCTCATTCATGCCCCGCTGGGCAGCTCCAACCCTGAGCAAACAGGGAGGGTGCCCGAAGAAGGTGACTTAGCGCCTGGGGCTGCCAAACTTCACCGGGGAAATCAGGGTACCTGTAATGAGCGCAAGATGTGCTACAGAGAAATGCACTTACTGCTCTGTGAGATGGTTTATTAGCTCTGGAGGTGTGTTCACATTCATTAGTTTTTGTTGTATTTTTTTCCAGGGAGAACTAAAGAGCACCAACTGATTTCTTGAGAAAGTGATGGATCCTGACCAGAAGACAGATGACTGCAGTCAGATACAAGAGGAGAAACATTCTCAGAGCCATAAAAAATAATAAAATTGCCTTTGAAATATTTGCAAGGAAGGAAGAGGATGACAGCTCACAGCTAGGTGATCCCAAATGGCAACACAGTCACCAAGATGCGTCTCCTGTAAATGGCTTCATGCTTCCCTTTATTCATTAAAGATAATTTCACCCAAATTAGGGCTTGGAAGCAGAAACAGCAGAAAGATTCATTGGGACTGAAATGACACAGCTCATTTGGTCAGCAATAGGAGAGCAGAAGTGGAAACGCAAAGCTTAAAAAAATGAAACACCGGGTTTCAGTCTGGCAGGTTTGTGTGAGCGCCGTGTGTGCCTGCCCAGCTCCCCAGCAGCCAATATTCCACCAGCCCGGATACAGGGCTCAAAGATTTCCCAAGTTCCCACAAGGCTTTGTGGAACAGGCAGCTGTGGGCAGATGGGGAATGTGTCTGTATGTCTCTGGATGGTTCTGTATGTCTGCACCACAGACCCTGCAGAGGGAGAGCAGTGCAGTCGCAGGAACTGTTTTGCACAGAGCTCATCCATCCTCTTTGGCCAACTGATGGCAAGAGGGAAGGCAAAGCAGATCCAAATTCCTCAGTCACACGTTGCTCAGAGCAAGCCAGTGCTTGGAGGGCTCTGCAAGCAGAGCTTGAGACCAGCAAGTGAACAGCCCTGGGAGCAGTCACCTTCAGGCCCATCTCACAGAACAAGAGGAGGACCCGTCCTCTCCTCTCCTTCCTCGTCCCCAGGCAGAGGGAGCACAGCCAAAGAGACACAGGGACTTACACAAGTCCCACAGAGACATCCCTGTGCTTGTGTCCTGAAGAAAGAGGCCCACCAGACCAAAGCCCTCATACCTGCTCACACCCTGAGAGCTCCTCAAAAGCAAAGCCCTTGTTTGCTCTATCACATCACCACACACTTGGGGCCGAGGCAAGGCATACCCAAACATTTCATATCACAGCATTCAACAAGAAGCATGTGGGGGTGTGTCTTTTCCCCACAAATATCCACTGGCCATGCTTTATAATGGTGGGGGAAGACTGAGCATCATCTCCACGTGGATCAAGCAGCAGGTTCATCTCATGGGGAGCCCACCAGCCCCATGCACCCATTCCTTGGAGGTGCCCAAGCAACAGGAGACGGCTGCAGGGTGTGGTGGTGGGTGGGCAGATACACGGTCACGTCCTGCCTTCAAAGATGAAAAAATACATAAGTGGAAGTCGGTATGCATTAAAGTCATGCTTTAATAGGTGAGATTAATGTAACAAACTCAGTGATACAGCTGCAAGTGCTGGGAAACTTCCTGTGAACTCACTGCAAACACCCACAGCCAAAACCCTGAACCTGATCACGATGGGGAATGGTTTGGTTGGAGCACTCCGGATTAGGGCTCACAGTGAAATCGTATTAAACACAAAAACAAACCACACATCACTGCAGCAAGATACATGTCCTATGCCTCAGAGCACATCTTCACAACGAAAACATCATTAAATAAGAAAATTGCTATAAATCTGTACAAAAGCCATGATCAACAACTTCTTATGAATCTTTTATGAAAGAATTTTCACTCAACATCTTCAAGTATTTATATCTGTAGTTAAGTGTATCCTTATTGGCTATTTAACTCCATTTGTCCATAAGAAAAAACAAAAATTAAAAACATTAAAAAATACTTCCCCAATTAGCACTGTAGCAGTAGCTGGATTTTTCCTACTCGTCCATACTCATCCTCTATTCACCAATAACCAGAACACCCTCACCTCATGCCTATGCTTAGGGGCCCTGTGCACACTATTCACTGCCACACGCGCCCTCATCCAGTCAACTCATACGTGTGTGACCGTGCACGTTAGCCGTGAACCTTGCAGGTTTTTATTCCCACACACAGGGTATGCGCTGGATCAGGACCTATGGTCTGGGAAGGCAAGCAAGCCATCAAATTCCTTGAAAGACGAAGTTTCTTAGGAGCTGCAGCAGAGAGAGGAAAAACATTAACACAGCACAGGATACTGCATCTGCTCGCTGGCACGCAAGCCTCCAGCCAGCTCCTGCACAAACAGCACCTAAAAACCCCTGAACTAAAGCAAACAATCTGGGCAAACAGCAAGTCCAGACCTTCTGGCTGTTTCCTCCACTTCGTGAAACGGGTCCTCTGTCGTAAATCTCTAGGAGCAAATGTGTGAATTGTTGAATGCTCCTTCAGACTCGGTTGAATACCGTGTAGGTCAGGCAGAATAGCTTACAGGGAGGTCAGGAGCATTAGGGCAAGCCAACAGCTGGCAAGGTCTGAAAGTAAATTCTTGAGGGCTGTAAATAAATGAACCAGACAAGCATACCCCCTCCAATTAAAGCTTTAATTAACTGCCCCACAAAGCCCAGTGGTTTCCAGACATGCTGCACTCCAGCATGCCCTCACTGTCTGGCACGCTGATCATTAATGGTAAAACAATCCTTCCCTAACCAGGACGTGGGTTAAATCTGACACATCTAACTCCATGCAATGGGCCTGCAGAAAAGAGGCCCCACAGGCCACTGCAAATCAATGGCAAGGTTTGAAAAGATGCAGTAATACATATTTGTTCTATTTTGGCAATTGAGGAAGGAAGGCCTTTGAAGGAGTAGAGGACACAAATATCTGCGGAAGGCTATGAAGGGTCTGAAAGTAGTGGAAAAAGTTGGGCAAAAGCAGCTCTAGCCAGCTTTATGCAAAGCCTGAAGGTTTTGCTTTCAGAAACCAGCAGGCAATTCGTATTTTCAATTCTAACAAGCACTACAAAGCAACTTCTGCTGGGGATAAAGGGAACAAATTACTCAGCACTCTGCACCCTGGAGAACAGTATCTATACATGAAGGTTAATACTGGTCAGGGATACATTTTGACTATTAATTTTATCCCAGTCTACAGTCAAGCCTACTTTCTTTATAGGAGGGGAGGCAGCTACACTCTCACATAATGGGAAATGCTGATACTCATCTCTTTCAGGCAAATGTCACAAAAGGAACGGTTTATGCCCTAGGAAACAGACACACAGCACCTTTGCCAGGAACAAATCTCAAGGGAAGGTACAGCCTTTCAAAATAACAAATAGAAGTTACATGATAACAGAAAGGCCTGGCAAATTAGGTCATGCTGTCTTACGTTAAAAGTCATGTATTTAATAAATACTCGACTAGTTCAAACAAGGAAAGATTAGTTTTCCACTTCTCTTTAAGAAGGGCCACACCAGAACCAAAGCAAAGTGCAAAAATCCCTGTTACTCCAAGATAGTCCTGAACATCAGATAAAAAACAGGAACAGGACACAATCTGTCCATGAAGGTGATTAATTTGCGTTTCCTTCTTTATGGTAGTGAAGGGCTGGGTCTCAGTGAAGTAACTACAGATGATTAAAAAAGAGCAGAAGGCTGACAGTCAGACAGGCGCTAGCCTGGATCAGCCCAAGGGAAGTTTATTTTCCCGTGTACTTCTGCTAGCCCAGTCTCTGAAGCCGTGTCCTGCAGTGACAGCAGCGTCATCTCCGCTTGCTCCACTGCTTGCCGTGCTGGTGTCAATCCGCTGCCACCTGCTCTTCACCAGGTTCTGCTGCACGCTCACAGCTTTCAGGGTTTTGTGTTGCAACCTCAGCAGCGTCTTCTTCAGGACAAGTGGATGCCGTGCTCTGCTCAAGACTCTCCGAAACTTGTTTCTTGTCTGTGACTTCTGCTTGCCCTTTTTCACTGGCGTTTTCTGCCTTTTTATGCTGTTCTACCCCAACTACCTCACTTTTGCCCTCCAGGAGCGTGCTGTTGCAGCGGTGCTGATCACTCTTTGCTGTGACTTGATCTCCACTTGACTTCAAGCCATCATCACTTACTGGAGAAGTCCACCCAGTTTTGGGGAGCCTGGAATCACCCGGGGGTCTCAGATCCCCACCATTTGCATCTCCATCCCCCTTCTCACTTCTCACTTCCACAGTTGCATTTTTCTCACTGACATTTTCTTTTTCAGCCTCAGCGTTCACAACAGATGGATTTAACTCAGCACTAGAAGCAGAGGGCCCCACGTTCAGGTTTATGGCCAAGCTGAATGCTTTGTTTCTCGATGTTCTTTTATCAACTTTCCTTCGTTTTACAGCTGCGTCAGTGGACTCCGGCACTGTTAAATCTTTGGTACTTGCGTCATCTTCTTTCAGTGTTTCCTGATCCTCTTCTGCTTCTAAGAGCGAAACTGAGGAAGGGATTTCTGCATCAATGGCACATTCACCCAGATTACGGGAGATGTTTTCAATATCAGTAGGGCTTTTCAACGGTCCGCTCTTTTTAGCATCTGCCATATTTGCATCCAGTTTTCTCTTCTTGCTTTCCTTCGTGCAATCATTCTCTGCTGCACCCTGCACTTCTTCAGTCTCACTGTTCAAACCCTCCTCCTTCTCCTGCTGGGTAGGTGAAGCCTCCTTCTCTTGACCATCTCCTCCCTTCAAAACACAGTCACTTATCTTCTCTTTTACATCTTCATCATTCACTTCAGGCTGCAAGTCTGCAGCATCTCCAGCTCTCTGCTGCTCTTCTAGGGACTGGTTCTGATCCCTCTCCACTGAATCATCACATTTTTCACCAGGAGTTTCCTGTTTAACTTCAGCCTTTGGGTGCAGCTGTGACTTGGCAGAGCGGGGTCTGTACTTCACAAGTTTGTCGTGCGGCCCCCACACGAAACTGCTTCGAGGTCTGAAGTGTTGCCAAGCATAGTAGACCAGTTCTTTTCTCTTCTGCTTGCTTCTGACGGTGAACAAGAAGTAATCCAAGGCACTTCTCTTGACATTTGGTAACGTCTCCTTAACCAGAGTTTCTGTTAGGAAAAACTTTACCAAGTGCACTTGATAGTGTTCATATCCCATCTCCCCCAGGCACTTCAGGATGCGCGTGATCCGCAAATTGTTGTGGCTGAACCTGAACAAAACAGATCAGTAAAGCTGTTAAGTGAAAGTCTTACAAGTCACTACAAACCTGTGATCTATTAAAGATTATTTGACATTGCAGACAGGAGCATAGGTGGGCTTTCTTTTAAAGCACCTACTGCTGCTGTCTGCCTTCAGCAGTCTCCTTCTAGCCCTCCTCAGATTAAACATCTCAATGGCTTGGGAAGGCTCTGGCTTTCTGCATCACCAACCAGTAGATGACAGCCACCATACTGGGTCAGACACACACACCCATACAGCCCAATACCCTGCCCCTGACAGTGACCCTACAGAGTAAGCCTGTAGAAAAGTGTAAGGACACAGGTAAGTAAGGACACCGCCAGAGATTGGTAACTTAGGGACTTAAGATAGACATAGCTTCTTGAAAATAAAAAAGGCAGAAAACTTTAGTGCCTTTAAATCGAAGACTGCAATAATTTAACAATGTTACTATCAATTTGCAGAGCACTTTTCAACCAAGGATTCAAAGCATCTCACTCACATTAAGGCAGCTTTATAAACAATGAGGGAAGCCTATGGAAACACTTCTATTTTGTAGCTTAACAGGATACTGTACAGGCAATGTGGCTACCTGTGAAAATGTTTCGGTGATTCCTGCTTAAAATACGGTTTTAAACACAAGTTCTGCTAAAGCAAATATGAACATCTCCAAGCCTGTATTTTGTACTTCTGGAGACCAACAAGAAGAATAATGGCTGTTAGCAGCTGCACCAGATACAAAAGAAAACCAATCTCAGCTGGTTTACTTATTATATTTGTCACTTATTGAAGTGATGGAAAGTGTGATGAGCTACAGTCAGAGGCTGAACCAAGTTAGAAATACTTTAGCTAGCTATCGTTTTATCCACAAAAGCCTCCATTCCTCAAGGGCTGAGGGTTTTCTTGACTTGGAGTTTTTTTTCTTCTCAAAGAAGTACCTGGCTGCAGCAAATGACCAGCAGCATAAACAGAGACTCACCGGTTCAAGTTCTGAAATCGTTCAGCCCAATTCTCTGCTCTCTTAAGTTCTCCGGTTTCCTCGCTGACCAGAATGATTCCATAAAATCTCAGCATGAGCTGATAAGCACGGATGAACCTTTGCATAACTTCCTTGGACTTCTTAAAGGCCTGAAAACAAGGCAGATCAATGAGTACAAGGTGCAATTCCCTAATTACCTACACCAGTTTAAGTGGCATCCGAGTTACAAACAAAGCTTGATTACATCACCAAGCATTTCATGTGCTGGTGTAGTTATGCGGCAGACACAAGATAGACAAATGCTTAACAGTGCTTGAGTGAGCTCTGCTCGCACTAGGGCCCTAAAGAAGCAATGTAAAAACCACTAGGCTTCAAATACAAGGCATTTAGGAAAAACCCTAACAGCTTTCAGAGCTCAAGGAAGAAAAAAAAAAAGGCAAAAGCTTTAAATACCTTGATTTCTTGAGACGTGAGTGGTTTGGCACGCCAGTTCATCCCATGCTCACGTAAAGGGAATAGCCTGAAAGGAAAGACATTTTTAGCCCAGATGAGCAAAGATGACATCCAACCCCAGGCACCTATTTTGTTAAAACTAAAGAAGATTCCAACAGCTGCGATATCATGGGCATTTCTTGGAGAGCTCACATCCTTATGGACACAAAAGTAGTTTACTACATGACAAATAAAACTCTCCCATAATATCTTTGTCTGCACCAGTGATAACAACATACTTTGCTTATCTGGATCTCTCTCGTTGCCCTAATACTTTGCTTTGCAGGATGCTGTAAGACAAACATGTAAAACAAGCATGACTCATCTATTGCCACAGCGGCACAGGAAACCTGCGCCTTCAGGATTTCCACTGCATTGCTTCCAGAAGCATGTAACTCAATAAAAATAAAGTGGACACAGGTTTTACTAAAGAGTAAATTCTGGGCCTTTTGGGAAGCTGAATTCAGGAACACAGATATAACTGACTTTTAAAGAGGCACAACGAAATAGAGGCATTATATTAACGCAGACAATTTACCACTGTATGTAAGAATGATTTTCTTCCAGAACTTCATAGTTGTCCCACCAAGATTCAAGCAGAGTGTCAATATGCAAACCTGAAAAGAAAAGGAAAAAGTCAGGCAAGAAATGACACCAACTGAAAATAAAAGTGGGGCAGTCAGCCAGGGTGGCTCATTATCCAGACCAGGTGTTCACATACTGGCATTGGCTTCTTTAACGGGACAACGGTCCTGGTAAGCCAGAAAAAAACCCTTAGTTTTCTACCACCAAACACAAAATTAAGGACCATACAGAAGAAACTAGGACACTTGAAAAGAGAAATTCTTAGTAGTTTTTTGTTTGGTTTAGTTTGGGGTTTGGTTTCATTTGTTTGTTTGGTGGTGGGGTTTGTTTGTTTGTTTGGCTGGGTTTTTTAATAATTGCCCCACATGGATCAAGCTACTCTCTCACCAATTCAAGCAGCTGCAGCAGAGCAGCACCAAACAGTCATCACACAAGATACTCACCCTGGGGCGAAAAATTAATCTCATTTTTATAAAAGCTTAAGTTCCACATCTCTTCCTCCTCATTTTCTGGTTCTATCAAACCCTGGAGAGAGAACAAGAAATCAACAAGCCGCAACCTTTTAAAAGGCAGTATTCACTTCAACACTTCTTGCTTTCCCTCACATTTCCTAAACATTTCAAGCTAATCCTTGAAATGCGTTTTGGGAAGTAACAGCTTGTTTCTGATGCACTCACATGCACATCATCCCTTCCCCCTCACAAACGAATCCTTTAAAGGTTCGGAGCCTGTCAATATAAAGACAAAAGGGTGCCCTCATATCTAGAAAGGGTTCCTAAAATCAGCACGCGATGAGGAAGAGCCACAAGAGCACATGCAGCATCCTTCAGTCCGTACCGGGTAATGATGTCTGTATCTCTGCAAGTCTTTTGCTGCATTCCAGTTGCGCCTGCCTGAGAACTAGAGAAAAGAGACAGATCACAGATCCAGGATAAAGTTGTCTTCGGCAAAACAAAATAAAATTAAAATAAATCCATTGCCAGCATCTCCCACACCTCTTCCCCTGCCCATCGCTCTCCTGTGCCCTCCACTCTGCACTCCCAGCACCCCCAAAACCAGCCGGTTTGTTCCTGCAGTCCTGAACTGAGAGAAGTCCACACCATCTCCTTCAAAACATCTATTTTTCTTTCTAGTCTTATTAATCAAGGTCTGCATGTTTTATGCTTATCTTTTATCCCAGCTGGGTTTTCCTACAGAAATGGTCAGAACTAGCTGGAAATCACAAATAGTACAATGTCATTTTCCTCCTTAACTCCAAGGTTTTAAACCAAGACAAACAAAGCCCTGTTCGTCTCTCACTCTAAATCACTATACACCCTAATCAAGGTAGAGCTCAGACTTCAAAATTGTAGAACTCAAGATGCAGAATTATCCCTTAAATTCAGGATTCTCATTCCCTGTAGACATTACTGAAAGAAGGTTTCCTTCATCTTCACTTTATGGTCAAGAGCAGCCTTGCTGACTTAGCATTGTGCTGATCTAGACTGGGCAATAATACAGCCACATGGTCACATCAGGCATTTATTCTCCTGGATTGCTGTTCCAATCATCATCTTCATCATTGCTCATCTCTCCGAGTAACCAAACTTGACGTCAAGCCTACCTGAAAAGCCCTCTGAAACAGCGGTGACGAATTTGATCTTGGCTCCTACAAATAAAAGGCATTTAGTTGAAACATTTTGAAACTAAACCTCACCAGTAAAATAAAAAAAAGATACGAAATGAGAATACCCACAGTAATGATTCACATGATCCCCATTAGTTGCCAAGTGACAGATTTACTTAGTTACAGCTGAATTCACTTGATGTTACTCATAACTCAAACTGCTGTAGAGCAAAGCCTGTGGAGCCACGTCCACCCAACAGTTGGGTGTCAGGTTCTCCTTGCTACACCAATGTGCCACGCTCATTCCCAATGTAGCATTTAGACAGAAATCACAAAGAACAGCTCCATTTCTTCCTCTGAACGTCATGGAAATAAAGTTGCAAGTATGAGTTAACGTAAAATGCATTTTAACTGAATTATATACTTTTGTTGTTGTTACAGTGGATTACTTCAATGATAAGAGATTTTGTTGCACTTCACAAGCAATATAGACAGGTTTCATCTTGCTGAAGGCTGAACCATCTTGTCCCAAACCACAGAAGTGTTTAAAAGTGCTCTGTCAAGGCAAAAGCACCAAAGTGAACTGCTCATGAATGAAAGGACCCAGCCAAGGCGAAGCACAGCGCAGGGAGAGCTCACAGCAAGAGCAGGGTCTTTGGGAAACAGGGATGAGATGGGCAGACTCGTGCAAAAGCAGCATTTCAAGAAACTAGGAAGAAAGAAGCTGCAGATGCTCTCTCGTTATTTTTAACTTCATTTGATGCTTCTTAACCTCATTTGCACAGAGGAAAAATTAAAAAAACCACCAAGATAAACCCACTTTCTAGTGAACACTGATCACTGGTTCATTAAGGCAGGAACTGGATTAGATTTGGAAACACCTTGTTTGAATGTAGACATCCATTCATTGACCCTGTTGGTTGCTAATACTTAAAATGTATGAAGCACGCACAGCATCTGGGAGACCAAATCCATACAGGGAGGCCATCTAAGCAAAACTTTTAAAATTGCATTTAAAAATGCATTTACACGCTACGATTCCCCCATCCTTCAGTGACAGGGATTAAATAAAGCTCAAGTTATTTTCTAAATAGAATAACTTGTGATGACCTAAAATAATGCCTGTCTACATTGCAACACATTTCCATTTTATACATGGCAACACAGACCAAAATAGGTGGCAGAACTTCCCACAGCCACATGGCCCATACAGGATCAGAAATCCAAGCGCTGGTGTCCGTCCCCAGAACCTACCCCGACTGCAGAGATACACACAACTATAAAAAGCTTTGCTACAAAGCTAACATTTGGGGGAAAAAAGAAGTGGTTGCAAACACAAGACTAAGAGATCTGTTCAGCCAGAGGAGATCAATGTTATTCTTTTGTTCAAGATGTAAGCAGACACTGGGATTTAGCACTTTAAAAATCGATGCTTTTGACTGCAGCTTTTGAACTCCAAGGATATTTGGATACAGGAGGAATTAATGAAAATGTTGTTCCTAATTACAGAAGAATCAATTTCCAGATATTCTCTACGCTTAAGATCTAAAATAACACCCTTTAACACAGCCAGGCGGGACAGGCTAACAGCAGGCTGGCTCCAGTTTTGAAAAACAACTGGTTTGCTGAAGAGTAAGCAGAGATACAGAAACAGATGCAGTGCCATGGTGCAAGGTGCTGTGAGGTCTAGAAAGCAGCGAGATCCCAGAAAAAAAAAGGATTGTGGAGCACAGCACAGCAGAGAACGAGATGGGGAAGCACAGAGAGCAAAACTCAGCCTTCCCTCCAAGCAGGTGTTGTTCCTGGGTCTATAAACTTCTATTTAAGCTACACAGAAACATAGCATTACCTTCCTTTCCAGATTTGAACAAATTAAACTGCAAGACAAACTTGCACGTGTAAATCAAAGCCCCTTATTTCCCACTGATGGGCAATGTAAGTGGGTTTCAAACCCGCAACGCATCAGTATCAGTCGGAAAGTGCATCGCTGTGCAGAGTGTGAGGAAAGCAGGAGATGGTAACACAAACAATATTTGGCTGAAAAAGCTGCAACCAAAAGGGATGAAAGAGCACGTGGATGTGAACAAGAGAGGAATGAGAAGTGAGAGAATCCTAGAAGAGCAATTGAAACCTTTTCTGATGAAGAGTTAGGAGAAGGCAAGAAGTACAGGGCTTGTTATTAAAAGATGGCTGAGCAGCACGTGAACCCCATGCATTACAGTAGAGACGAGGTTACCTTTGTAAAATGAGCACAAACCCCAAGGTTTTCAACATTAGCTCTCAGAAGCTAAAGGCCCTGAAATGCAAGAGCTGAAAAGGCACGCCTGCAGAATTTCAAACTGTGAATACGGAGTGTTTGCAGAGACACAAGTGAAACACAAAGACAGAAGTAGAATTTTAAGTTGGCTTTGAAAGCGTGCAGGGAAAATAATAATAAAAAAACTCTAACCTCAGTATTGAATAAAAACATTATCAGCTTCTGGAATAAAGTATACCATCTAGGCTGAGGGGAGAAGAGTGAGAATTAGTGCAATATACGAAGTAGGAACCTCTTCTGGAAACCGATTCATGCCCTTGGCAGGTTGTAAAGGCAGAAATGGATAGCAGAAGATTGATTATTTTCGTATTCATTCTCACTGCCCTTAAAACAGGCACTGTCAGACAGAGGTGAGGACACATTCATGACTGAAGGGAGAACTCTTCTTTATAGGTGCACAACAACATCCCAGGGGTGTAAGTCTCAGGGACACATCCTCCTTGGTGGGGCAAAGCTTGAAAAGGTCACTCACTGGAGTGAAAAAATGGTCCTTGCTTTTACGGCTGCCACAATACAGAAGGTGGTCTAAGAAAAAAAAAATAAACCTGAAGAACAAACACATTCAAAAAGAATAATATGAATGTTCTGGAGGCATTAAAACTTGTGAACAGAAGCAGAACTGCAGCCACGTACAAATTTGTCATGTGGCTTCAAACAATGCAAAACACTTCGGAGGAAGTCCCTGCCTCTTCCTTTAAGCATTGCCGCAATTCCACCCAAAATACCTGCGACCTTTCACAGATCTGCGTGCAGCCAAGGCCCAGCCACGTTTGCTGCAGGCAGCTCCATGAGGATGCAGGCACGTGCATGGGGGTGTCTGTCTGCTGTATTTAAAATTCTGATTTTTATCTGCGAAGCAGAGAGTGCGTATTTTTGTAGCGAGCCGTGAGTGTTTGGAATATTATGTTGCACGCCATTTATTTCATTTTTTTTAAGAGGGAAGTTAATATATTAATGCTTATAAAAATTTTTAAAGTTTAATATTAAACTCCTTTAAAAATGTATTAATTAGAAAGCTTCACCTGCCTATTTCTATTCTAAGAATAGGGGATGAGTTGCTGAAATGAAATTCAAGTGAAGGATTAGTTTCCCTTTCCCGGAAAGGGGAGGAGTTAAGTCAAAGGACTGTAGGGTGTTTTGACTGATGCAGGAAACACTGAAAATCAGAGATGCACTCTTGCATTTGCCAAAGCAATGCCGTAGAAGAAATTACTGATGCTCAATGTCCAACTCAAAAGCATAGGTGCTAAAGATAGGAACCTCAAAGAAGACAAATCAACATTATATTAAGGGACTAGACACAAGTGTTCACATTCTGCAGCACTACCTCGCTCACTATACCTGCACACGTACCCACAGGTTTTAAAACATCAGAGGGTATATTTTTGATTTCAGAGTTGCTCTAAATATGCTCCCTAAAAAACCCAAAACACCTGTCTGAAAGGAACAAAAAGTTACAGCTCACGTTTAAAAGTGAGCACATATCTGGGCAATGCTTTTTTATTGATGGCATGAAAGAGCACGCAAAAGGCCACCACGCAAAGATGAGAATACCAATGAAAATTTAAAAGCAAGGAGTTGCTGAAGAAGATCCGCGTTGTAACGTCAAATCCAGCAGCCACCAAACGTGGTGAACAAGACAGCAGAACTTGTATTTGTGGGATAAAGTATCCGGATCACAGGGGATAGTGGGGGTGGGGTGAGATTATATTAAAACCCAGCTCATGGCAGTGTAATAAAACTTGAGGGGTTGCAAAGTTCCACCTCTGCCTTCACCACCCCAGAGCTTGCTTCTGCTTCTGACCGGGCCCCAGGCTCACTCCTCTTTGAGGATTTACTTCATCAGGATAAGCACAAAATCATATTTCAGGGATC